GTAATTACAACTGTTGTTGTAGTCCTAATATAAAAAATTAGAAGGAAAATCACTCGAACTCGGGGGTTTTTTTTAATTTGACTGTTTAAACTTGTTTAAATTTCTGTAAAGTTTGCTAATTGTTGAGCTGTAAAAAATGAGAATTTTTCTTTAACACCAAATGATGACTTTTTGCATGCAGGGTTTTAAAAACGGAGCACCGGAAACTGTTATTGAACGTGGTGGTCTAGTATCAACCTCATTTGGCCGACTGAACTCGTTGATTGAACGTGTTTTGATGGTAAATTTCGCGAAAAATATGAGAAGAACGGTCGATGCCTATATGGAAAAGCTTACGAAAAGGTTATTTCATTCCTTTTTGTGCGTTTTTTGCATCTACGCAATGCGGAAAATGCATATTAACGAAGGGTTGTCTGTGTGTGTCTGTGTGTTCGTTTGTACCGATTTTTCATCTCAAGACCTACAAAAGCTGCAGGGCTAAAACGTTGGGAACTTATTCTGTATGAAAAAAAAAATGTACAAGCGCCGATCCTCAAAATGGACGCTCTTACCCGTGTAGTACCCACGTACTTGCCCGAGAAAGTTTTTTTACGAGCAAGCTGCTAACTCTGGAATCTGAAAAGCTAGAAGCCTTAAGCTTCAAGGAGATATTCTCCGTCCAGGTAGGTATTAACGAGCTCAAACCCAGATACCAGGTATGCGTGGTATTCACGTGCTGGCCTGTGAATGTTTTTACAAGCAAATTGATACCTGAAAAGTTAAAAGACTGTAATTTTAACACCGGCAGTCGGTGCGCTGGCCATTTTTTTTTAATCTGATTCTTAAATTTGTCTTCAAACTTTACTAAAGTCTTCAGCATGATCAGTGCACATGAGTTTAGTTTTTTTGTTTGAATTCACAGAGTACTTAACTGTCTTTTTATTTTCTGTATACTGTTTGATTTTCTAAAATGTGCTTGCCAATAGGACTTTGTTTGCCGGGGGTGTATATACGAAATTAGTTCGAAGCAAAAAAATAGCAAGGTGCACCATACTAGCCGATGCGATCATGCGTTCTGTGCAGTTCGTCCATCAAACTATTGCCTGTTAACGATTTTCACTGCTTTTTATTTTAGGCTGTGGAAAAATAGTTTAAACGTTGAAAAATAGTTAAAAATTTCACGCACTGGCACTACCACAAAACTATTTTCTTGGCTTTTATGGTCCCCGAGATAATAATTTACCCGCCAATATTTCACGGGCCGTGGATGACACCCACGAACGAGGGAATGCTGAATTTGAGTTTGCAAGGTTGTACATGGACAAAGGGTCATTACCCTAAGATTTCAGCTTCCTAACTTTTGTGGCTCCCGAGCTGAAAGTTGCGGACAAGTTGTTGCAGACACGGACATGGACACAAACACACGTATACATACACACACGGACAACCCCGTGACAATTTGCGTTTTTATGCGTTTTGTGCTGTGTAACAAAAGCTAGGAAGCTGAAAATTTAGGGTAACGTTCCCCACCCACGTGTGACCCTGCAAATTTAACACAAAGCTAGGAAGCTGAAAATTTAGGGTAACGTTCCCCACCCACGTGTGACTCCGCAAATTTAAATTAAGAGCTAGGAAGCTGAAAATTTAGGGGAACGTCCCCCACCCACGTGTGACCCCGCAAATTTAAATTCATACCCACGGGTAACGCGTACGGCCCCCTGAAAGTTTTTCACCGGGAAGTAAATATCTCGGGAACCACGAGCGGGTAACGCGTACGGCCCTGTGAAAGTTTTTTACGGTAATATCTCGGGAACCACGGAGTATAGGAGGCTGAAATTTTAGGGTAATGACCCACTACCCATGCACAACTTTGCCTATTCAAAATCAGCCTTCCCTTACCCACGGGTAATACGTACGGCCCAGTGAAAGTTATTCACGGGTAAGTTAATATCTCGGGAACCACGGAGTCTAGGAGG